GTTGATTTGTTAATACTCACCCTCAAGTATTTTCCCATTGAGTTTTAGAGAAAGTGGGAGGGGGAGAGACATAGAGAGAGAAACATCAGTGTAAGAGACACACATTGATTGGTTGACTTCCCATATGCCCTGACCAGGGCCAGGAATCAAGCCTGCAACCTAGATACTTGCCCTTGGCTGGAATTGAATCCAGGGCCCCTCAGTCTTCAGGCTGATGCTCTATCCACTGAGCAAAACTTTCTAGGGCAATGTGACTCTTTCTTGGTTGTTAGAAGACATGCAATTCATAGGCTAAAGATAAAGGACTTTATTATTACAGCAAATGTAATGCCCATAGTTCCATCTTAGTTTGTGTCAATTCCTCATCTTCCCTGAAATCCCACTGAGGTAACATAGGGCCTACAGGCTACATCTATAATAATAAAAGCATAATATGCTAATTAGACCAGATGTCCTTCTGGATGTCCTTCCGCAGCTATTTTTGAAGGATATAGGTGAAGGAAAATTATTTTAGTGGGAGAACATTGAACAATGTATATGGCTGTTCATTTTGCTGCGAGGACTGGGGTGGCAGCCGGGGCTGCTGCCTCAGCCCTCAGAGCCCCTTTCACAAATTTTGTGCATCAGGCCTCTAGTTAAAAAAGAAAAATATTGAAGCAAATGGGAGCAAGCCTGCTCTTTGTATGTAGTAAGATGGTAGCTCATCTCTCAAGGTTTTTCACCATAAAAACAACTCCAAGAAATCATGTTGGAAGGCATTAATCAGGGCCATGCATTCTTGGCATACCCAGCAAGAATATGCAGGGACACTCAATGTCCAAGGTGGATTTCCTCTCCCAAGATTCAATCTGATGATTAGCAAGAAGAAACAACTCTAGACAGCTTGGTGAAACATGTGTGGCAGATGTAGGAAATGATTGATTCCCACAAAAATTCAGGGCCACCCACTCATATGAAATTACTATGGATCCAGGATTCTGGGATAGACCATTATGATTTTGGAGCAAAGCTAGATTTTCCCCTGTAGATGATTTTTCTCTTTTAGAGAAACATATTTGACTCACTACTGGGCCAGAGTAGAAAAGGAACACTTGGCCATTGACCAACAAGTTACTAATTGACATGCTATGCCCACTCTAAACTGTGAGGGTTATTTGACTTATACAACCATAAATTTCAGTACAATAGCACTCCACATCAAATGACTTGGTCTATAAAAAATCAGGTTCAAGTATGTCCTGAAGGCATTAAAAGGTTGTATGAATATGTGGCCCAATGCCTTTGTCTCCTATTCCTGCTACATTGCTTCCTCCCTCTTAGTTGCTCCTATAGCCTCATAGGAGATGATCCTATACAATAATGCTGGAACTGCCTGAAAATAGATGAGTACAAAAATACAGCCCCACTCCAGGGTATTTTTGAAGGATATAGGTGAAGGAAAATTATTTTAGTGGCAGAACATTGAAAATGTATATGGCTGTTCACTTTGTTTGGAATGAGAGATATTCAGTTATGAATCTACATTGATTTATAGACTGTGAGTATGGTTTTGTTAAATGATCAGAGACTTTTAAGTAATAGGTCTGGAAAATTGATGCAGTAGGGTCTGGAGAAGAGGTATATGAAAAGACTTTTACAAATGGACAGAGAATATAAAGATATTGTGACCCATATGTACTCTCACTAAAATGCAACCTTAGATTGGGGTATTTTCATAGTTTTGTGAGTAAGGTAACTATTTTTATAGATGTTAGCCAACCTCTGTCCTTACAAAGCAGGCGGCCATGTTGGTAGAGGTATTATTCATGGGATCGACAATACGTACATGCACTCCCAACATCTTATCTGGTGAAAGCCACTGATGAGTGACAAATCTATTCTGAAATAGTACCATTCATTGAGGATCAATCAATGTACCACCTCATGGTAGGTTGATTACATTGGAATATACCCCTCAACTGGATAAACACTTATCTGGACATAGACATTCATTTTCTGTTCACAATGCTTTTGGCAGAACTATATCCATATACTTATAGAATGTTTTAATTGTGGTATTCCACACAGCACTGCTTTTGGCCAAATTACTTATTTTATAGCAAATGAAACATGCCAATTGGATCACACTCATGGAATTCACTCATCTTACGATGTTTCCTATCACCCTGACAGTTGGCCTGATAGGATAGTGGAATGACACTGCAAAGATAGGTATGCACCACTTGTTTGGCATATCTTGAGGAATTGGGCAATTTCTCTGGGATGTAGTATATGCATTCAATCAGGGTTCAATATGTGGTGCTGTTCTTTCCTAGCCAGTATTAACAGGTATGGGGATTAAGAATATAAATGGAAGTTGTTTTTTCTTTTTTATACCTCAGTACTCTGCTAACAAAAATTTTTGCTTCCAATAATTGTGAATTCAGGCTCTAGGTGTCTGAGTGCACATGGGAGGAATTCCTCTACAAGAGGTCACATCAATGGCTCCATTAAATTTGAAGTTGCCATTAAGCCACTTTGGGTTCCTCATACTAATGCATCAATGGACACAAAGGGAGGCCATTGTACTGGCTGTAGTGAATAATCTAACTATCCTGGAGAAATTGAGTTACTACCAAATAATAGGGTTAAGGCTGGGCATGTATGCAATGAGATGATTGCCTGGAGGGATACTCAGTAATTCTTTGACAAGTGATAAAAGGCAATGGAAAACCACAACTCCATTCAGGCAGGACTGCTAATGGACCAGAGCATTCAGGAAAGAAAGTTCAAATCACCATCCCATGCCAGAAATTATGACTAGCAAAGTGCTTGCTGAGGGCAAAGGCTACGTAGAATGGGCAGTCTTTGAACATGGTCATACATCACATCCTATATAATAAAAGGCTAATATGCAAATAGAATGAATGGTGGAACTACCAGTTGCTATGATGTGCACTGACCACCAGGGGGCAGATGCTCAATGCAGGAGCTGCCCCCTGGTGGTCAGTGCACTGCCACAGGGGGAGCACTGCTCAGCCAGAAGCTGGGCTCATGGCTGGCAAGTGCAGCAGCGGTGGTGGGAGCCTATCCCGCCTCCATGGCAGCGCTAAGGATGTCCAACTGACGGGGCCTCAGCCAGGCTGACATACCCCGAGGGGTCCTGTACTTTGAGAGGGTGCAGGCCGGGCTGAGGGATGCCCCTACCCCTCGCTGTGCATGAATGTCGTGCAGCAAGCCTCTATGCCCCTCCCCCTCGCTGTGCATGAATGTCGTGCAGCAAGCCTCTAGTTTATGAATAAATGATTAGTTGTAGAACTGTGGACTATAATAGTTATAAATATTTCTTGCTATTCTGATATAAATCTACTTGTAAATACATTAACTAATTATATTTTCCCCTCTCTCATTCCCTTGTTATCTAACATAAGATCTATTAATCTACCTCAGTATTTAAGCTACAAATTATTAAAGGGTCAGTGTGATTCAGCTAAAAGAGAACATTATCCAGTTGGACACATAAACTTTATATTCTTTTCAAAAGAGTGTTAGTATGCTCTTGGTTGTATAAGTGATACTTGTATAATTTTAGGTGGAAGCACGACTTTGCCATATTTTGTTTTACTGAAAAGTTGAATATGGTTAAAAGAGGTATGTAGGAGGGCCAACTTCACAAGGGAAGGGATGGACTTTGGTGGCTTCCTGTTATGCAACTATAGCCACGTTAGAATTTACCCACCCTTTGCAGGTCCAGATCATGTGTGGCAACAATAGAAATGTGTGTGAGATTGGGAAGGAAAAAGTAAATTACAAGCCACTTTTGAGCACTGATTTTGGTATACATTGTTACTGTTCTGTAAACTCAAAAACTGGTGTGAGGTGGTATCCAGGCCCACAGCTCTGCTAGCTCCCAGGATAGCTCCTCTTTCAATTTCTCTATACGATGGACCAGCTGTGTGTTTAGTTTTGTGGTGAATGATGAACGATGTTTGCTTCTTCTGCAGGTCATTCACATGATCAAGTGTTAATGTGATAGAAAACAGTGGTAGGTTTTATTTTGTCCTTGTGAATCCCAGTGTGTACTCACTCTCCTCCAAGTTCTATGCATCTCTCCTTCCTGACTGTGGGCTAGGCTGACCTATCATGACTTCAGGTCCAACACTTAACATAAAGGCAACAATCTTATATAGAGTCATTAAAGAAGTTTAATAATAATTTTAGATCTAATCCCTACAACAATTCCCTTTTGGGTTCTCTTTCTCTGATCAAACCCTGATACAGATAGGGACCTTATTTTTTTATGTTTATGTACCTAATAACTAACATTAGGCCCAGCATTAATAAAGCTTTAGTAAATCCTGGATGACTGGTGATGATGGTGGTAGTTGATGTCTCTCATGAAACTAATCCTTTTCAGAGACCTCATTTACATTGATGCTCTACTTTTTGGAGGGTCAGTGGCTTATAATTTATTAACTTGCAGTGACTGATGAAGGATAAGTGGATACTCAGGGTTGCAGCATGGAGTATCTGCTGAACAGAAAACAGAGTAGGGGACATCCCCAGGACACTCTGTTAGTGGGGAAAAGCAAGTGAGAGATGCTCATAATGATACTGTGTGTGTGTGTATATATATGTGTGTGTGTGTGTGTGTGTGTGTGTGTGTGTGTGTGTGTGTGTGTAAATGCAGAGAAAAATATCTGGAATCAAACCCCCAGAATTGCCCTCAGTAGTCCCTTCTGGTCAGAGATTCCTGACGAAATTGTTTCCTGGGGTAAGTGCTTGGATACCCATACACAGACAGAAATACGCATTGGATATATGTGTTGCTCATCAACCAAGCTCTAACATTAACAGAATATTTGGTACATAGTAAGAAGCATCGTGCTTAAGTTTTCACTGTCACAAACTCTTTCCTTTACTCGTTGTACATCTGATTGCCAGGAGATCACAGCCTTGCCCATGTTCACAGAAGGTCACCAGGTTCTACTTCTCCTCATGGGCACTTGTCACATCCAGAGTTAGTCGTTTTCCTTGGGGTCACCAATCTCTTCATAGACAACTGGGTTCTGTTTTCCTCTTGGTCTGTGGGCCCAAATGTTATTCTTCCCTTTCCAGGGTCCTGCTGACTTTTTAATCCACTGACCAAAGGTACTTGCTTTCCTCAGGGGGCAGAGCCGTTCAGAGCCGTTTAGGAGCCAACTGGTGGCCTCAAGTCATTTTCTTCCCCTGGCTTCCTGGACTCCACCGTATTCACATCCAAGGGGGGAGAAAGGCTCTGTTGCTCTTTAGATTGGAAGATATCTTCAGCTGTTTTCTCTGTTGGACTTTGGAAGCCTTCTGATGTTCATTCTGATTCCTGGGGTTCTGATCTGTGCCCATGGAATTCCGTGTAAGTTTTTTAGGACACAACAAGGCTGGGAGGGTGGCCCTGAGACCCAGACCAGTTATGGTGTCATAGTTGTTTTTCATGTACACATAGGTGCTTTTCTTTGGTTCCCCACTCTGTCCACTCCTCCTCAGAGAAGTATTTGCAAATTTCCTGGAAGGCCTTGCATTTCTCTTCTGATTTCTTGGTATCCCTGGAGCCCTTTCCAAAAGAGCTGCTTGTGTTCGTGGTGCTGGGAAGGGTCTGATCTCGAAGGAACACAGCCTTAGCCCCTACAGTCCCAGGGCCAAAGGTCCTCAGAAGTGAAGCAGTTGTGAAGGCTCAATCCATGATGAGATAAAAACTTGCAATTCTATTGTCCCAGGACCATACATGAATCTGAACAGTTAGTGAACTTGATCTGGCTATTGGAGGTCAAGATAAAGAGTGGGAACTGAGTCAGGAGAGGGGCCTCTCAGTCCAGGCTCCCAAGACCCGCATGCCTTTTCAAAATGGGTCTGTTCAACTTTTCTTATTCATTTTTAGTCTCTTGGCTAAAATTGTACTTATCCCTAAATTGGCTTGTGATACCCACCCTACCTCTAGATGGAGGAATCTAAAAATAAATCTACCCTTCTGGGGCGAGGAGTGGTCAGGGGAGGGATACACAATATATACTTTATAGAGAAATCAGATGTTCTTCTAGGATTATGTGTTAAGTTTCTTCAAAATCAAAAGGTGGTATAACTGAAGAAAATACGCAAAACAAAAGAATTCAGAGGTTAAATTAAAAGCAAAATTTTAAAAACTATGAATACCATTTTTATAGTAAAAAACGTAATATATATTACACATCTGAATTGTGTTCACTCGATTACCAATTTTCAGGGTCTTTCAAACATTTTTTTAGCCCATTAGAGAAATTTTAACCATGTTTCTTTCTTCTTCAAGCCCTTGTTTTACAACGCTATTGTCATATAATAATACCTTATGTACATGCTTTAACAGATCTTATTTTTATTTAGATATGGTAGTGGTAACAGATCAAGAGACAATAGTCAGAGTTCCCAGGAAGAAAAGTCCATGTGGGGAAGCAGCAGAGTTGGTGGGCTGGATAGTGGCTTGGGTGTGAGAGCCTGATAATGGAGGTTGTTGGGGGTGTGCACTCCGGATTGGTTGGTTTGCATTTGAAAAGCATTCTCCCAGGTGACTTATATACTATCTCTAGGAATTGGCTAACCCTGGCAGGTAACGCCCCACCCCACCAGTGTCAGCAAGTTCCAAGATGTCAAAGCTTCAGAATACACAAAACAAAAGATGGTCAATACAGTGTTGACAGTATAAGTGGCTAATTTTAAACAGTTGTCCTTAGCAATGATAGAACAGTTATATTTTCAACTCAAGAATATTACAGTTTAAGAATTAGGCTGTTCTATTATTTGTGCGAAAAAAAAATATATTGCCAACCTAAATTCAAGCTATAGAAAATTGAAGTACAGAGTAGCAGGTAGATCCTTTCATTTTATTCAAAAAGAAGATAGTAATGAACAGTGTGTGTTCAGTATTATTCTCATGTGATTTGAGTTGGGTAATTGTAGATGTGAAATGAGGGTCAGAAAAGGCAGTCTTTTACTTTTAAATGCTTGTGGATTTCGCTGTAATTTAAGGTCATGTAAACAGAAAAACTCACTTTTGAAATTGCCACACTATTCATCAAGGAAACATTGTTGGGACCCCATTTTTCATTTGGAATAGAAGGTAGATAGGTCATTCAAAAGCCCTGTGCTACAGAAGTTGTGGTCTCATTCTCCCTCCTTCCCTAGTTACAACTATGTAACGATTTTTTATTTTGGTCACTTAAAGAATGAATACTTAATTTAAAAAATGGAAAATTAATAGTGTTAAGATGAAAGAGGATATGTCATGCAAATGTGTTTAAGGTTGGCTTGTTAAACCTAATTGGCCTCTAGCAAGGAATAGTGCCTTTCTTAATATTTGAATAGAAAAGTATATTCCATTTTTTATCTAGAGTACTATGAAACAAAACAGAGAAAATACTGGTATTTGGGAAGCCATTCATTTAGTCATTTACTCATTTATTTCAACAAATATTCATTGCTTGCTTGCTGTGAGCCAGGCACTGCTCTATTTGCTGGGAATTTAATGCTGAGGATGACAATCAGGGTGCCTGTTGTGATGGGTTTTATAATCTCATGAGAAAACTTATATTTTAGTAGCCAAATTAGATACCTCATATCACTTAGGACACTTTCAAATACAATTACTGGGAACTGTGATTTAAACTGGCTCTTAAGGATAAGGGAACACATTATTAAACAATACAAGATTTTGAATAGGCTCCAAGAGCAGGGTACTCAAGTGTCAGGCTCTGTTTCTGTGGATTCTCTTGACTCTGGCCTCCCCATGTCAGTTTCATCTTTAGATAGGCTTGGCTTCTCTTGTGGCCACACATGGCCTCCGGCAGGCACAGGGACAGCAGGCTTTCTTGTTCATGCCTAATAATTGAAGGAGAAAACTCTATTTTCTAAACATCCAAGAAAAGACCTGTCCTGTTATCTGATTGTGTCACCCATCTCTAAATGATTAATAGTCATTTTATACAATAATTCTCTAACATTTGGATTGCTGAAATAATTACAGAAAAAAATATAGTCACACTTTCATGATTGGTGCAGTCTAATTTAAGAGATGCCTCCCTGCAGATAGTAGGCATATTGTGAGTTTCCCTGCACAGGGAAGAGGTGGATTCTACCCACGTTTCACCACTGAAAAATCAGTGTCCCAAAAAGAAGTAAAAACAGGACATAAATTCTGGTTGGTTAACAAATAGTATTTAGTTATAAGGAAAAGTTTTTAAGTTAAGCATTAATTTAAAATATATGGATTGTATGCTTATGTCTGTACAAGGTGCAGTATGGGCCAACCAAAGTATAAAGATAAATGAAGTAAAGTCTAGTAGAGAAGTGTAGGTTTTTTAAATGATAGGAATTGGCATTTGAAAATGATATTGATACTATTGTGGTTCATCTCAGATTGGGCCACTTTGCACAAATATAAGTGAAGATGTGGAAACTTTTGCATCTTGTTTAAAGAAACCACATTGTTCTTCCATAAGTATTTTCCTGCAGATAGTAGTATGAAACTTGGAGTTTCATTTCTTTTTCTTCAGTAATATTTATGGAATATTTCATTAGATATATGTGCTTTAGCCAGTTTGGCTCAGTGGATAGAGTGTAGGCCCGCTGACTGAAAGGTCCTGGGTTTGATTCTGGTTAAAGGCTCGTACCTTGGTTGCAGGTTCCCCGGCATTAGTTGGGGTGTGTGCAGGTGGCAAGCAATCCATGTGTGTCTCTCACATGGGTGGTTTTCTCTGTCTCTTCCTCTTTCTCCCACTCTCTCTAGCAATCAATGGAAAAATATCCTCAGGTGAGGATTAATAAAACAAAACAACAACAACAACAAAGAAATATGGACTTTAAAGTCAAATAATACTGGTTCAAAATTTGCTCTACCTACCATTTAAGAATTCTGCCACCTTGATTACTAGTAAGTGATTATTTAGCCTCCACTGAGATAAATGTTTGTAAAATGCCTTCTTGTAGTAAAAACACAACATATCAATTGTTGTATGAATTATCTTATATACTATTGGACTTTTTAAGGGTTTGACATACTGTGATAACATTTCTCACAATACCTTATTCTGAGACAGTTGGATGTTTGAGGATGATTTCATCTCTCCTTTCAAAGCTAAATCACTAATAAGAGATTTTGAAGATACAACTATGTCACAATGTACTGTTCTATTTATATATTTTCTGGTTGCCCACAAATGCATTAGATCATATGCTTAATTCACTAATGATTCTGCAAGGCCTGGAACACCTTTGGATAAGTTCAATTTCTGAAAACAGATAGTTCAGTTTGCCTGCCACTGTTTTAAGGGGTTGTCACCACTTTTAAGTGTCACTGTGCTTTCTGATGCTAATGCTATTTGTCCATTGAAATTGTTTTTAGATTTTTTTTGTTCTCCATTGTTCCTCCTCCTTCTCCTTCTCCTCCTTTTCCTCCTTCTCCTCCCCCTTCTTTGATGATGAGAGTTAAATCTGTTTTGTTAATTATAATTCAATGCCTCAGATTCTCATGACACCCAGGTTTCTGATGTTAATAAATAATAGCTTTATTCTTAACATTGAGGTTTCTAAGAAAAAAAACCTTTAAACAAAACATTTTTAAAAGCTTTTATTAAAACTAAGCTGCTAACAATTTTTTAAAAATATTTTTTTATTGATTTCAGAGAGGAAGGGAGAGGGAGAGATAGAAACATCCATGATAAGAGAGAACCATGGATCGGTTGCCTCCTGCACACCCTCTTACTGGGGATTGAGCCCGCAACCCGGGCATGTGCCCTGACCAGGAATCGAACCTATGACCTCCTGGTTCATAGGTCGATGCTCAACCACTGAGCCACACCGGCCGGGCTGCTAACAATTTTTATAAGATCTTTTTGAGTCTTTCCAGGATCAGGATTCACTAAAAGCATCCCTAGTGTGCCAGCACAGCAGTATCCCCAGCTAATCATAAACATTACATTTATTTTGAAATTTTCCCTTTCAGAATTTATACTTGTTTTGTTTGTTTTAATGAATCATTCTAAATGTCCTTGCTGATGCTGATTTTTAGTGCTTCATGATCTGGAAATTGATATCATGAATACTAAAGCTTATTTTCCCTTTCATATTAAGGTAGTTAAGAGAACATGCTCTAGAAATGTAAACTTTTTCATTATATAATGTGCTTCTGGAAAGCCACTTAGAGAATGATCACAAATTTCTATGCATATAGACAATCTGATATTTTCTGTACTGAGTGGTATTTCACATGCTCTCTCTCTATTCCAGTGGTTCTCAACCTGTGGGTCACGACCCCTTTGGGGGTCAAATGAATCTTTCACAGGGGTCGCCTAAAACCATTGGAAAACACATATATAATTATATATTGTTTTTGTGATTAATCACTATGCTTTAATTATGTTCAATTTGTAACAATGAAATTGGGCGTCACCACAACATGAGGAATTGTATTAAAGGGTCGAGGCATTAGGAAGGTTGAAAACCACTGCTCTATTCCATAGGTATCTGTCACTGGGAATCACAATTATTAGGGACCGGTGTAGGTAGCCCCGATCTATGAATAAAAGAGTTTCTTCCTTCAAAGGAACTCCATCAGTAATTATGGTGATTGTTATTAAAATGTGCCTTGATATCTCATCTGTTTATTCAGACACTCAGCAAATATTTGTTTTTTTGTTTTTTTGTTTTCAATGCTAGGCACTGGGAACAAATGATAAGCAAAGATATGTTGTTTTGTATGACCTGGCTTTTCTTTGAAAGATAGTCAACCTAAAAATACAAATATTTTCCTCATTAGCATTATATAAAATAAGATTATTCAAAACTGCATGAACTGGACACAATCACTATTTAATATTTTTGGTAGATTTCTAGTCCCATTTTTCTAAGTATATTTTCTCCCATAGCCGAGACGTTTCTGCATGTAAAGCACTTGAAGCAGTGCTTGATATATATTAGGTGCTCAGTAAAGATTAGCTATTGTTATTGTCATACACTATTTTAAATTTTTCTACTTTATTTAATAACAAAAATAGTTTCTCATGATATACAAAATACCTTATAAATGTATTTTAAACTATGAATATCTATTGTGTGACTGTCAAATTTATTTAACCATTTTTTATTTTTAGAAGTTTAAATAATCTCCAAATTTTATTTTGTTGTAAATAATATCACAATGGCATATTTGTATTATTCAGCTTCCTAACCTAAAATTGTAGCATTTAGCAACCAGGCTGATATGTAGGTTCAGGACATTATGTTCAAATGATAATACTTTTTTTTATGTGAAAATTACTTATTTTAGTAGCTCTATCTTCTGGAATGCAATTTAATGTAGAAATTCCTCAATAAAATATTCTTAGCTGCCAAAAAAAATAATAATAAGAAGAAAAATATACATGGGCTTTACATAAAGCTTATGGGATGACTAGAGGCCTGGTACACAAATTTGTGTACCAGTGGGGTCCCTCTGCCTGGCCTGCGGGATCAGACCAAAACCAGATTTCCAACATCCCCCAAAGGGTCCCGGATTGCAAGAGGGTGCAGGACAGGCCGACAAACCCCACCGGTGCACGATCGGAGCCAGGGAGAGACACGGGAGGTTGGGCAGCCAGGGAGGGACTGCAGGAGGGCTCCAGGGCATATCCAGTCCATCTCACTTAGTCCTGATCAGCCAGACCCCAGCAGCAAACTAACCTTAATGTAGGAATTCCTCAATAAAATATTCTTAGCTAACCTACTGGTAGGAATGTCTGCCCCCTAATGGTCAGTGCATGTCATAGCAAGCAGGAGTGTCTGCCCCCTAATGGTCAGTGCATGTCATAGCAAGCAGTTGAGCAGCCTTAGCATATCATTAGCATATTATGCTTTGATTGGTTGAATAGCCGACTGGTTGATTGGACACTTAGCATATTAGGCTCTTATTATATAGGATAGTGGTGGGGGTCAAATATAAAGCAACATGTTTCAGTGAGTTTTATAGTGGAGAAATTGACCTGGTTCACTTACTTGAAAAATGATTGAGCTAATGGAGGGATAGGGCTTAGTTTAAGAGGGAAGGAAAGAGCCTTCCAGGAAGGAGAAATCATTTATATAAAAGACCTGAGATGCAAGAGAAAATGAGGGGCTGAAGACAGCTGTGGGGTGGAGGAGAGAGTATGAACCTGAGGAGCATGGCAGAGATGAAACAGTAGAGCTAGATCACCATAGCCTTCATTTTCGTGTTAAGACATTTAGTATCTTTTGTAAGGAGAAAGACAGACCACAGAGTTCCATAAAAGGAGGTGACATAACCAGATTCACATTTTGAAGGCATCACTCTGGTTGGGTTTCTGGACCATAGATATTTATCTAAATCTAAATGCTATGTTTTTCATATATTTTTATACATTTCATTTTTTCCATTGTTTCACCTTCTCCCCAAACATATAAATGGAACTGATTTCTTCTGGGATTTTTTAAAAAGCAAATTGAACTGATTTGCCATTTGGTCAAAGCCTCTACTTTGAAAATGAGAAGGTCATGTATTTTAGTCTTGAGATGAAGCTTGACTCCATCACAAAGAACCACATGTACTTTTCTAGGGAAAAAACTGGCTCTACATGGTGTTGCTTTGACATTTGATTAACTGCCATGTTTTCCTCTTTTGGCTG